GTAAAAAATAATAATAAATAAAAAAATAATAGTAAAAAAAGTTTAAACTGTAGATTTTTGAGAAAAAGCCTAAATTTCCCGTGTTTTTGTCTGCTGCAATTTACGCATCGAAATAATTTCCTTTTATACAGGTTGGCCTATTTTTGGCTCTTAAGTTTTCGCCGAAAAAAATGGCATATTTTATCGCGCCTTGGTATATTATTGGCCGAATATTTTACGACGAAGCCATAAACAACGGCGTGTAGGATAAAACGTTATTTATATGACGTTTTCTTTATGCCCGTAACCTAAAAGCCGCGTAAAATAAATCACTTTGGCGACTAGTTCCGTTCTTTTTTTATGTACGCGCGCGGAGCGATTATGATTTGTTACAAAATTTCTGCTTCATTTGTTTTAGTTTATGCTCCCGATTTTTAGGGCATTTTTATAGGTTATGTTATCGACGCTGCGCGGTATACGCTCGGGAGGACGCTGTAAAAAACGCGACAATTTTAGTACTCGCCCGCGTTATGGCCGCTTTCGACGAGTGCAATTCAAATTTATAACATGGCATCGTCGCGTCGGAAAGAAAAAACAAATTTATATATTCATATGGGTTTAGATCTTCTGATTAAAATTAGGGTTACGGATACATTAGGCAAAAGAACTTCAGACATAGACATAGAGATAGAGATAGAGAGATAGAGAGAGATAATTTGATCATTTTCCTTATACTCTTCTGTGCTTAGAATTTTCTCTAATATTAACCTTAAGATTTTAATTGAATTACAATAAGAGAAAATGTTAAAACTGTGACAACTTTCGGGATTTTAACATACTCTGTCTTGTGAGATCGGGATTGGTGGGGCGGCATGCTGTCTTGAAGAAAATTCTGTTCCACATGGTATCTATTCCTTCCTCCAAGGCAGCCATATTGGATTTTTATTGTTTAACATATACATTAACACAGCCAAAAACTGTTTCCTTAACTGCAAAACGATTTCTTTCGCAAATGATTTTAAAGTCTATTTTATGGTTCAATTGTAAGCTGACTGTCTCGGAGTTTGTATCTTACTGTCAAAGGGAAAATTTATTTCTCAATGTTAGTTCACCTTTACTAGAATCACAAACTATAAACTTATGAATACAGCATGGAAAAAAATATATTTTTAAAACGCGGCGATGTTCCACAATTCTTCAGTTACAATAATATCAGGTAACATATTAATACGAATGCAAATCCTATATCGATGTTGTCGTAATAATATGCAGATTGACGTGTCTATGGCATAATACATTTGTTTGTTAGTTCGACCGCAGATCAGTTAGTACCATTACGTAATTAATTTTTTGCTAGATCAAAATCAGTTAAGTGGTGTACACGTGAAATGCCAACTCACAAGATTACTCGAAAAAAATATCGTTATCAACCAGTCAAAAGCTTTAAGCATATTAATTAATTAACAAGTATGTTATATATTTGGTATATCACCCATAAGCACAAAAAAATAATGCCGATTTTACCTTCCTTGATACAGCTTTATTTTTACACTTTCCACAGTGTCACACCTCACGTAAGGAAAAATTATATTGCATTCTTAATTTTTCACAAATATGCTGTTGCTTTCTTTTCGTAGAAATTTCTAAAGATTACATACTTTAATATGACAGGTAGACATCAAACTTCACAGAGAAGCTTTATCATAAAATTGTTTAAGTACTAAAGAAAATTGATAAAACAAACGTCAGCAATCACCAAGTAGATATAGCTATACTTGGATAACTAGATACAACTGGCAATATTTTTGCTTTATAGTTGTTTCTGTTATGGCAAATTGTTTGTAGAGAAAATTAAAAATATTTCCATTTGTGGCAATATAAATGGCACCACCAATTTCAAAGATATTTGTGGTCTAAATTTTTTTTAAGCACCTTAAACCCAAAAATAATAAAAATGAAAAAAGATTTATTGGGCCCCTTTTAGTGATTATTTATTGAGGCAGGCATTTCCTGACATATGTTTATTAACCAAATTGTCATTATTTTACAGTTATTTATTAATTATTGATTGTATTAAGACACACTTTACTAGTTAAATAATTCAGTAGTTAATAAGTTAGCTGACTAGGCTTAGCATTAAATGAAAAAATAATTATAATAATAAATAACGGGAAGAATAACAATATTTTCTACCCTTCGAAGGTCATTGTACGATTTTAAATAACATTTGACGTCCTAATTAATCAATTTAGACATAATTAGACATTAATGACAAGCCGGTAATGTAGAAACCCTTCCCAAAATTGAACTTTTTTTAAATTTTAAGTTCTTGATTTGTATTTTAGGCTACATATTGAAATGCGGTTTTCAATGAGTCAGATTATAACAGAACACGTCACCTGGTCACGCCCGCCCATAGCACGATTGATAGTCAGCAAATGCCGTTTTTAATATTTGTTAAACGTTTATTAAAGCTTATTAAAATATTCGAACACCCCCACCACTTTTATTTCAGTAAGGATAATTAAATGAAAATATTAAAAATTTATTACAACTTTAACACAGTGCACACCCAAACTTTGGTTTACGCCGTTTTCGTGATACCGTACCTCGTTGTCTTTATTGGGACAGTAGGTATAATATCTGGAAATTATGAACTTTGCAAGGTAATATCCAAAGGCCTGGTTAAATTATTATCAGAATAGAGGATTTGCAGTCGATTATTACTTCTCTTAAAGAACAAATAAATTTTGTCTCTTTGTCCATCCGATCTAGAGGTACACCTCATCCTATAGACTCCACGAATCCCACAAACGTACAAAGCAATTTTCATTTGGCCGGATAGCAGGTTCATAATGAACCCCGACAACAGAATAAAAAGATAGCTTCGTCTCTGGAAAGCCTCAGGTTCGCGCGCTTCCTATATCCGACGTCGTCTGCTATTTACCTCGAGACGTCTCTCGTCTCAACAATGTAACGGTAAGTGTAATCTGAGATCCCCAGAAGCAAAACAGTCGGGACCACAGTTTGCTTCCGCCGCGAAACTTTGCCGCGTCTGGCATTCCTGTTTACGGAAAACTTTCGCAACCGATTGTAACCGGGCGAGCAACAAGTTTACGATATTATATCCAATTAAATTTTATTACATTGCGAGGCAACTTGGTGAGCGACGGAGACGTCGAGCACTACCTCGAACTTGGAATTGTTGTAACGAGATTCCGCGACACAATGTAACGTGATTATTTAACAGGTTTTCCCGACTTGTAGTCCACGTTTTAATCGTCACGTTTTGTGTTGTATATCAAAGGCCCAATACGCAAACCTGCTTATTTTCTGTAATGCGTTTTCCGAAAAATTTTGTAAGCTATTTAAACTGGTTTATTGTGAGCTGGTTCCGACTAACTAAAACAAACCAAATTAATCCACGAAGAACTGGCATTTATAATAATACTTAATACAAAATATTAGATGGTACCACCAGATTATGAGAGCCAGCAATCTGCCTGAGAACATTTCTGACTCACTCCATAGCTATTAAGCGTTATCCTCGTTGGTCTCTCTGACCAGACTCCACAACTTTGATAGTCATTGCCTCTGATGTGGTTACGCTTAGCAGATGGAAACGCACTCTCGATAGACTTTCATAGCGACATAATATGCCTGTTTCCTCCTGTTTTCTTTCACTCCCATTAGGCTTAGATGTCTCTTAAGCCAGCAGTGGCCCGTCAACTTACCTGATGAATGTGACTCCTAAATATTTTGTTTCCTTGAAAAAGAGTAGTCTTATTCCATGTACCACTGGTTTCAGTCCTATGAGGACTCGCCTGTTAGTAAATGAAAGAACTATCTTTTTCGGATTAACTGTTAGTTGCTCGTTTTGGCACCAGCTTTTCACAATTCTTTTAGCCTCTTGGCTTCTCTCCAACCATGTGTTTTTTTTTTAATTCTAAACTATATTTTATTATATTAAATATCAAGGATTGCTGATTTTTTGTAAAGTGATCGCATTGCTTATATCTAACCAACCAAACTCGTTCGGAGAGCTGAACCTGAGTTACGCATTTGTTACGCGAACCTAAAGCAATTTTCGAATTCCGATATTATCCGCACTGACAAAACCTACTGAGTAAAAATAGTTGTTGCAGGGACAATATCAACTTTAATCCTTTTTGTGATACTTGTATTTCTACTTAGTCTTCTCGAGGTAACTTTTTCAACAGTAAATTAGGATCATTATTAATTATTATCCTACAAATTAATTTAAATTTCTTGAGAATTAACTTCTAAAAATAATTTTGATTGTTTTGACGTTGCTTCTTGTTGCTGCTGTAACGTTTTTTTTAGTTACAAATACAATCTAAGTCTTCTAAATTTGTGATTTTATTTCGACAAGTAAGTTTGGTTTTTATAATTTTGCTTTTTTTTTCACCTTGTTTTATTTTGTTGTTTGCTCTTAAATTCGAAAAATATAGATATATTACAATGAAGTACAGGCCACTTCCATTCGGTTATAAAGATTAATTAATTTTCCTCTGATATAATCATCCCCGAATGCGGCGTTACTCGATCCGACAGAGAGAGAGGGAAGCCGAGTCATATTAAAAAATGTCTTTGTTAAAACACACGGAAATAATTACGTTATTATTATTTTTCGAGATCTTCGTCCTTACAATTTTTATTAAAGCCTGTTTGCTTTATGCGAGATTAAAAAGATTTGCATTACATGATTTACTTTCAGTTTTTCGGTGCCCCCTCCGCTTAAAAAAAAAACACAACAAAGAAACGGGGCGAAAATATATAAGAGCCTTACGGAAATTGGTTTTCGAATTAATTTATTCATATACGGGGCAAATTTAATTGTCGACGGCCGAGATCGGCTCGTTTTTAAATAAGTGACTAAGCGATTTTAATTTTTATTAAAACAAACATGTTTCGAGTGCTCGAAATTCTCGAGTGCCGCACCTTTAGAACGCGTAATTTTAGAAATAAAGATGGAGTTTAATCTGTCTCACTTCCTTTATAAAACCTGTTCCAATTAGTTCATATAAAGCAACCGATTGAGTGAATGAATTATTGAAAATATGTTGTCTTACATCGCCATATTTGCCCTCTGCGTTGCGTCAACGGTAAGCAGTTTTTACCATCATCTTAACTTTATCATTTAACTTTATCATTAAATTAAATAAATACTCTTCATTTATATTAATATGAAGGAAGAAGGATTAAAGGCGTAGTAAGCATGTAACTTTAAAATGATCCTGATCGTCAAATTAGTTATATGGGATATTGACGAAACTTGTTCTTGTCTTAAAGCTACCAAAACATATGCTTTGACTAAGATATTTTCAGCTGCTGCTGAAAGAATCGTCTAATCAAACCAAGAGCATATACTTTATCTTGTATATATTTGATTTTGGCTTAATAAATATGATTGTGCTTTTTACAACACTTCTGGATTCCTCCTGAGTCGGTTTTTGCTTAGTCAAAATTGCTGACGTTTCGCCAATCACCCTATTGGCTTCTTCAGAGCTTAACTGAAACTGATTATGTTGATTATGTGATTATATGAAAGAAGAAGGTAGTGTAATATTTGGAAGAATCATTAAAGACATGTGACTAAAATGAAGCATAATATCGTCAAATTAGTTATATGGGATCCATTGCCGAAAATTTACGAATACCCCTTTTGTCTTGAAGTTACTGAAACATAGGGTTTCACAAAAATCTCTTTGGCTGCTGTTGAAAGAATAGGGCCAAGTCCTATCAAACCGAGAAGGAAGTTCAAAAATGTCAAATGTTGGATAAGCAACGAGTCGTTAATAAAACAATTAAACTAAGGTGTAGTCCACTAGTCCTGTGGGATCACACGAATCACAATTCAAATGGTCCGATCCGTTAGGAAGTTGTATTGCAAAAACCTCTTCAATTAGTCCCAGACTAACGATTGGTTCTAAGATTCTAAGTAAAAAGCTTCTGGTTGATGGTTAATAAATTGACACTTCAAAAAACGCTCAAGTCTTCAAATGAAGCTCCAAGCTGACATTCGAAAATAAAAACTATTTGGTTGCTCCGCTCCTATTACAGCTACAGCAAGGGTTAAATTCAAAAAGTTTTAGAGGGAATTTAGTACATTTGATACCAGGCTTCAGGCTTCATCGGTCAATTGGTTTGGGAAATATCGGCAAAAAGTCTACAATGGCGGATTTCGTCATACTGAATTTTTAGACTTTTGGAAAGAGTAATATATGCAGTTCAATGATGTCCCACAAGTGCAGATAATATATTATCTTACTTTATAAAGTTGGATCTTAATTATTTTATAAGTAGACCATGATTAAGTTCACATTAACCTCAAGAAGTAATACATAAAAAAAAACGCATAAACGCGTTAAGGATGACTTCTCAACAAGTCAGATGTTTTGTGAAAATTACCACCGGTGTCTTTTTTAAAAAGAAAAACTCAGAAATGTCTCCGTTAATTAACACTTGAACAACTTACAAATTCGAAAAAAATTGAAAAAGAAAATCGCTACAGAAACAACGTACAAGTAATGTAATGTAGTAGATTTGCAAAATGACGTCAATTTGCATAGAGACATTTTTGGCAATTGGTGATTGGTGTTTTTCGTACAGCCCTAGGAAGTTTATTTCGGTTTCTAAATGTCTTAAACTCTTAACCTCAAGATTTCTGAAATCTCGAGAGGATCAGAAAATGCATAGACCTCATTTTGTGTATAACACCAGAGTAAGAAATCCAAATCCAAATGTTTCCTTCGTCGAACTGCTCGCTTAAGACGTTTCTGGCTTGAATAGTGTTACATTTATGATTTTCTTAAAAGAAAAAGTACTACTTATAAAAATACAACTTTGTTGCTTTCAATTATTTAACGTCAAAGTCAGAGCTCTTCTTAGATGGAAAAAAGATGACAAATGACCCAACTTTAGGAAGTGCGATAAAATCTTTTGTGCACCTGTGAAACATCACTGAATGAATTTGGCCAATCCTGCCTCTTTCAACCCTCTATGCTTGTGCTTATTGGAATGAATCTTTAATAGCTTTAAACAGTTTTACTGCAGATAATAAATCACCACTTAATGAAATTGCTACAAAAATCTTTTACTAGTTGGGAGATCCGATAGTGTCCATACCCGACGGACAAGTGCGAGGGCTTGAACTGCAGACATCCAGCAACAAGTCATTCTACGGTTTCCAAGGAATACCCTACGGTCTACCTCCGGTCGGGGATTTGAGGTTTCAGGTGAGTTTTGGCCCATACCATGAAAAAGTACTAACTGCACCAACATCAATGCAGGCACCCTTACCAGCTGAACCATGGAGCGGAATATTGAACGCCACCCACGAAGCCAGTCCGTGTATATTTTTAGTAAACTATTCGTACTATCCAGATCCTCTCGTCGAAAATGAAGATTGCTTGTTCATCAACGTTTACACCCCTACGTTGGATTCTTCCTCTAAATTGTCCGTAATGTTTTGGATCTACGGAGGTGGATACGTAGGAGGCTCTGGAGAATACAGATACTATGGCGCCGATTATCTCGTAGAAGACGACGTTGTCGTCGTAACGTTCAACTATAGGCTCGGACCTTTCGGATTTTTATCCACCGGAGACGAAGTGATTCCCGGAAACGCGGCCATGAAGGATCAGGTCCTCGCTTTGCAATGGGTGAAGAAGAACATCGAATATTTCGGAGGAGACCCGGACAAGGTCACGATTTTCGGCGAGAGTTCAGGAGGAATGTCCGTTGGTCTGCACTTGATTAGTAAACAATCAGCTGGTAAGCTTTTACTAACACGTAAATGAAAAACTGATAATGGTATTCGTCATTTCAGGATTATTTAGAGCGGCAATATGCCAGAGCAGTTGCACGATCGTACTGGGCTATCAACTGGATCCCAAGGCGTTGATTTACAGTGTCGCCCAAGTGCTGGATGAGAGTATCACCCGACAAAACACGTCGCAAGAGCTAAAAGAGCTTTTGTTGAGGACTCCAGCCGACGTGTTAAATAATGCTTGTACACAAGTGGACACGCATTTGGTAGGTGTCAATTTTCCTAACATTGAATACATTGAAGCAATAAGAGTAATTTTAGTTTAGACCAGTTTTGGAGGTAGATTCGGAAGGCGCTTTCATGACGGAACCTCTGTTCGGACTTATCGAGTCGGGGAATATCAATAAGGTTCCGTTGATAATTGGAACTTGTGAAGAGGAAGCTCTAGGGTTTTTAAAAAGTAAGCAATTAGTGGAATTGGCAACGAAAATAAGGTACAATGCAATAAATATATTTGCAGCACTGGACAAATTAACTGCCACGGCAAACACTTGGGATACGGACGTCGAGTCACTCATCCCAGAAGACTTGATCCCGTTGCCAGGCTCAAATCTAACCGAGATCGGACAATCCATTAAAGAACTCTACGTGGGAAAAGGTGGATCGTTTTCTACTCAGCTTGCACAAGCGCTCGCGGTAAGCAATAAGAAAATGCTAAGCGAAGCAAACCGCATTCAGCAAAAATAATTTTCAGTACGACACGGACAATATATTTCTAAGAGGTACGATCAAGCAAGTCCAACTGCAATCGAAATACGCTCCGGTGTATCTCTACAAATTTTCATTCAACGGGACCAAAAGTCAAGATCACTATCACGTGGAAGGAGCCGGATATGTTGGCCATTTTGACGAGCTGCCGTACATATTTAAGATGGAGCCTTTCCCGCTAGTAACAGAGGCGGACGATTTAGCGAGGCGAATAACTACCAAACTTTGGACAAACTTTGCCAAGACCTTGTAAGTATCACCAAGAGTGTATTAGAAAATCCCAAATTTGATTTCGAAAAATATAGTTGGTGAGTTGGTTAAGCAGGATGCGTTCAACATGTTGCTAAACTGGAATTTACGATCACGGTTGTTAATGAAAAGTGGGTTTTATTACATGTATTATAATTTTTCTGATTTTGGGTTAGTTTTAGCAGAACAATTTTCTTTAAAAAATCAATCAGTTATCTATATAGTAGTAGGTATCTTAGTTTATAATCTTCAAATTCTTATCCTATCTGTGCGATATTTTATTAGCCACAATGCTTTTAGCAACTGCTTTTGATAAACCAAGTTTGTAAACAAAATTGACTGTTGTTGTATCTTTCATGAAAATATGGACACATTGAATGATTTGCGTCTATATTGTTCGCTAAGTCAAATCAAGAGATTGAAAATTAATTTTTTCCAGGCATAATACGCTGACAATTTACCTTTTCTTAATTGTCATCGACCGGGCAATTGAAACTGCTTTTTTAGATAAATTTGGGTTTAACTTCAAATTACAAGTACAAGTTACAATTAAACAATAAGTTTTCCTGTCTCTCTTATCATATGAGAAACTTTCTTATTCAGATTTCCAATATTATCCACATTTTTGTCAACCTTTCTGTATTCGCATTAATTGTTTTAATTTTTATGTCAAAGCATAAGTTGCAATATTACAGTGTCCGTTTGACCTTGACACCTAAGTTGAAAAACCCGTTTGTGTAACTAACTATCTAACCAAAATTTGGTTAGCACGAAAGTACTGAAAGACCATAAAAAGTGAACTATAGGTTTTAGTTGAATAAGGCAAATTTCAGTCAGAAAATTTTTTTGAAAAAGTAAGTTAGAATTTTGGGAAAATAGTTCAAAAATAAGTCAGACTTTCTGACTTAAATCAGAAATTCTGAAAAATAAGTCGAAATTTTTAGAAAACAAATCAGAATTTCTGACATATATCTCTCGTAAAGGACAGAGCCAATCGAAACATCAGATATATGAATAAAGTCAGAAATTCTGACTTAATTTTCACAACAAAATTTTTCTTATTAAACTGAAATATGTATTTTATTTTTTGGATGGGCTTTCAGTTTTTTCGTAGATTAGTGGTTGTCTGGAAGAATATTCACCAATGTATCTAAACGTACTCAAGATAAATAATATACTAACACTGCAAATGCTATAAAGTAACGGAGTAGAGTAAAATTTCTGACTTTTAACATATCTAGAAAGAGATGGTGGAGTAAATACTAAATACAATGATCTATATCTAATAATATATATATATATATATATATATATATATATATATATATATATATATATATATATATATATATATATATATATATATATATATAATAATATATCTAAAATATATAATGCTCGCTTTATCCGTTCATACATAATTAAGATTTGCTGTTGGTTAAAATATTGATAACGGATTTGAGCTACAATTATTTAACCATCTTCTAAACGAACTACCCTTAATGGACGCGCACTATTTTGAAATGACTAACAGTTTCATGTTAAAGGATTATAAAGACTTCGTGATCAAAATTGCTTTAACGTCGCTTCTTTCAGAAATCCGACGCCGACGCCCGAGGAAACGGAACTGCTGCAGAACGTGACGTGGCCACTGGCGACCCCGGAAAATTTGCAATACTTGAACATAGATACCGCGCTGGAAGTGAGACGGGACGCGAAAAGCGATAGATGGGCAGGATGGGACTATATATTTTACAAATACGGAACTCAACCGTTTATGTCATTTTAAATTGATAAAAATAAATCGTAACAGACATCGGGGGCGAATTGTAATGCGGGCGGCACAAGTTCAGTAACCGAATACGTCACCGGTTTAATTTCGGTTTGTTGGCCCGGGGAGCGAGGGGCGGGGGTTAACCTTTTCGATGGAGGTCCGCGCCGTTTTTAGTGTGACCGAAGCGGAATTTACGACATCGTTAAAGCTCCGACGACGCGAAAGATAATAACGCAGAGCTTCGCATCGCTGCCGGTGTCATTTTATTGCCCACCTTGCTTTATGTCCAACCGCACACACTCGAAAAAAAATTTGATATTTACATTCGATTCGATTCGGTTAACTTATTTATACAATATTACATTCCATACTTAGAAATTCGGAAAACAGCTTCTTGACCCAAAATTATTATTATAATGTTAAGAAACGCACATAAACACATATTATTTACAAAACTTCTGGATTCCTCCTGCGTTGGTTGGTTTTAAGTTGAACTTGCTAATCGCACTGTTGGCTTCTTCATAGCTTAACTAAAACCGGCTCGCATTTTACTCTGTACCTGCTTATACAGGGTGCGGTGCGGTAAACTATTTGGGATGTTAATAAAAACCAAACTACATAAAGCAAACATTTTACATTTTAGGAACGTTATTTTTTAAAAATTATGTTTTTTGAATGAAGGCCATTATTGTCGATGCACTCTTGTAGGTTCTCGCGGAAGCGCATCATTACCCGATGGATCATTTCTTGGGGAATTGAGGCAATTTCTTGTCTTATGGCTGCCTTTAATTCTTCCAAAGTCCGCGGACGATGTGCGAAAATTCTCGCTTTCAGGTAAACCCAAAGAAAAAAGTCGCAAGGCGACAAATCTATTACAATTACAAATCTAGCATGATGCACTCCGCTCCAAGCTATGTCGATAACTGAAAATCAATCAGGCGAACGTGGCGGCCAGCCAAGATCACCCCGTAAAGACACCACTTTGTTTAGGAACATTTCTTGAAGAAGATGTAGTGAACGACGCGTTGTAAAATATCAATCTCCGTTGATTGTTTCCGTTATTCCATCTTCTTCGAAAAAGTAAGGACCCCACACGCCGAACTCCGAGATTGCACACCAGACGGTGACTTTTGGAAGAGGTCGCTCATGAAGTTCCTGTGGACTATTTGCTGACCAATAACGGAAATTTTGCTTATTTACGGTACCCGATAGGTGAAAGTGAGCTCTATCGCTAGACATGAATACAGCGCCTCTGGGAATGTTTTGAAGAATATCCCGACATAAATTTGTAAGGGTTTCAAAATCTCTTGCGCTTAATTCCTGCACTACCATCATTTTCTACGGATGCGTTTGGAGTGAGTTGTGTAAAATTCTTCGAACACTTCTATAGGGAATTCCCAAAGCAGCTTTATGCTTACGAGCTGAACGCCTTGGAGATTGTTGTACGGAAACTCTTACTGCATTCACATTTTCCGGTGTTCTTACTGTCCTTGGTCGGCCAGTAGATTTTCGGTTAAGCCTTTTTGCCGTACCCTGTATATTGTTTGAGGGGGGGCGGAGTTAAATGCAAGCATAAACATCGTCTTGGATGACTGATTCCCATATTCGTTTTATCAAATTACATTTATGTCCTGTTTTGTGATTGCGTTCAGACCTAACATACCTTACATACTTACCTTACATTAACTTAACATACCTTAATGCATTGTCACATCACCATCCGGCCCAAAAATCATCCGTTATCAACTCTCTTGTTTCCAGAGCCGTAAAACTATCTCAGCCCGAGTCAGTGAACCCAGAATTAAAACACCTTACCACTGCTCTTCTCTCTAATCATTTCCACATTAAGGATATTTAGCGTTCCATCACAAAATATACTTCACCAGACCCTTTTAATAGCAATGAGTCCGAAAGCAATCCCACACTTGTCACTGTTGCCTGTCACCAATATGGGAATCAGTCATCCGTCTCAGTTATAAAAGGCAATATGGAATTTAACGCACATGAACCAGGTTGGCAGATGACAAGAAGAGTTCTAGCGTCATGAAAATCTAAGTGGGCCATGTAAAACCAACACGTGTCAGTATCTCGGTAGTCTCTCATTAGATTTCGAAGCAATCGTTTGAGTCTTATACATAATGAGGAGCGTAAAAAAAAATTAATTCTCTAATTTTAGCAATTATTTCGTCTGTAGCATACGACACGTCTATTTTGTACTTTTTGATAATATTTCACATTTTCTGGGTAATTAATCTGCTTACTGTGCAGCCACTTGATAATTTCTTCTTTTCTTTTCGATGCATTTGGTACACGTTCACTAAGTATAGAATGATATCATACATTTTCCATAATAATTAAGAAGTTTTTCATAAACTATCTATACCGGGTGTAGCACATCGGGGACTAATATAAAAAGACATAACACTGGCACTATACGAGTGGAAGTAAGTAAAATACTGAGGCCAACTGCTTTTATGACCGACTATGTCATCGCAAATTGTACCGACTATAACTTCAAAATATTTTGCCCTCCGACGCTGTGGAATGAGAAGCAAATTATGACTTCTTAAACGCATTCGCGGGTACTTTCAAACGAAATTTAATAACGCAATTATTTTAATGAAATTTCCCTCTACGTTAACTTCCGTTCGCTTACGTGCAGTTCGCACGCGTGGACGAACATCAAGAGAGGACCTTTACGTCCGAAGAAATAATATCTGACCGTCGTAAAACCCCACGCATACATGTTTACAGTATTAAAACGGCGGTAATAAAAGTGCCCGTAACTGGACCCTTAACGTTTTTATTTCAATTATGAAACACATAAAGTCGCTTCTGGCCTCAGTTGCACGTCTTATGAATAATTTAACAGCCCTATTACTTTTCCGAAATGGACCACCGCTTCTCTACCACTGGCTTTTGTTTATACCCCCTCATATTAAAAATTTCGCTCTATGTAGGGATATGGATTCATGTTACTAAAGCGAACGGCCCTGGCCAGTTCACCCAATGATAAACGTAGGAACCGTAATAAAACGATTGCTCTAACCTCAATTTTGATAAGGATGGCGGACGTTTATTCCAACCCGGTTTCAAAAGAGTTGTGCCTATAATTTTGTGAATTAGTGCTCGTTTTTTGTGTATTGATCGGTTTCCGGAGGTCTTATATTCACGCTGGTAACCAGGTCAGATGGGATCGGATATCCCGTATGAGATTATTGCCGGAGCCCTTCGATGTTGGACGTAGACTGCGTCCAACATCGGAGATGGAAGGACCTCTGAAGAAGCTCGCCACTCGTGCTAGCGAAACGTTAGGAAGTAATTCCAATCGACGACGGCCTTTAAACCCGAATCAAGATAATAGCTTATGTTTATGTTTGTCACATAATCATTATTCTTAAAATGGTTTTTGGCGAATTTATCATCCGTGAAAGGAGTGATATGCTTCAAGTATACTTTCTCAAATATTTATAGATCAAATGTAGAGCACCAAGTAGAACAATATATGAAAGATTTTTCCCTAAATACATAAGCGGTGATTATATGCCAGCAAGAGCGCGCCCCTCCTCACAATGTTGTGCAAGTTGAACTATGGAATGGCCAGCCAACAGCCCCGACTTGATTTTAATGGATCACACGATTAGAGTGTATGAGAAATGTGTTCAGGAAAATGGTGGTCACATACAGTAGTATCTAAAATAGTTAAGAATTTTTTGTTGCTTCTACTTTAATTTGTAAATAAGTATTGTTGTTGCAGTGGAATAAGATATTCTATAAAACACATATATGATATACATTTAAAAAAATATGATATGTCAGAAAATTGATAGTGTTTTGTTTTATATGTCACTTGGAAAAAAAAACCTGGCTACTATCCCTACGTTTTTTTTTGTTTAACTTGATATCTGTAAAAGCAGTAAAGTAAGTAAAGTAAAAGTGTTAATTTACCCCAAAATCGACAACAAATTCAAATCTAAACGCACCCGAAATCCCGTTAAATCCCAAATCCACCTACATACATATATAGTTGTTGCGTTTAAATTTTAGGGTGACTCTCGTCTAACACCGTGCTTTATCACTGTCACCCCGCGTGATGTTTAAAATCCTTTTCCTGCATAGTTGCCGTGATCTATGAATACATAAAAAGCCAATCTTTTTTATCAGGCTGTTGAGCGGCAAAATCATAAATCAGACGCACCGGAACCGAAAAACATTTGAATATTTTATTTATCAACTTTCCTTGTCGCGCCCTTCCCGTCCGTGGCTTTTATGTTATTTTCCTTTTAATTTATATTCGGTTCGGAAGATTAAAATGCTGATACGAAACGTAAACATATTTGTTAAATTAATGCAAAGAAGATTTATTAGATTGGCACCAACCTCCGATTCAACCGTCATAACGACTTAATTAGAACTCCAATTTATTAGCATCCAGTTCTTCCGACTTTGTGACAGACATCGTCTAATTTTCTCACTTAAATCTTGCATTACTGGCGGATGCGCCAGGTTTTCGACAATGGCACTCTGATATAATTGTGTTTTGCTTGCTGCTGTGAGAGTTATTTATTGTCTCGGGCATTGTCGAAATTCTAAAAACTCTTAAGGAACAAAAGAAATAAAAGAAGAAACATGTATGGCTCAGAAGATGAATTAAGCATCGGAATGCTTTAGGAGCTTCTGCTCAACTTTTAAAAGAGATGAAGATGTTGGATCATAAAAAAGATTATCCCCAATAATGTTTGAGAAATTGTTAAATCTTGAAACAAAAATGACAAAATCAGATACATGGATGCGGACTGCTATTTATCCTTGGATCAAATTGAAGCAGCTTTTTTACCATAGGTCCTTTTGTCATTTTATGAAGCCCTCGCCGACATTAGTATTCACAAACTAATTAGAAAAATATCATTCAATCTAATGATAATGTTTTAAATGATTGCTTTAAATATAATCTATATCAGACAAGGCCTGCTGAAGAATATCAAAAGTGCGGGAGTAGTTGGAGGATGATTTTGACGGTCGAATCTGTAGG